GTCCATACCTATCTCGTCACTGAAGTATTTTACAATATTGAGGAGGCCTTTCAACTCATATTATTATTATTATTATTATTATTATTATAATTAACTAATTGGAAGAAGTAATAACAAAAAGAGGAATAACTGAGAATAATAATAAAAGAAACGATACCAATTTTGATATTGAGAAAACACGAGGATAATTAGAGAGAAATAGAATTAGAAAGATTCTGTTGTACTAATCATACAAGATAGAGCATGCATATCGCTTTACCTTGAAAATAATCAGTATTCAAAATTGCAGTTTTTACTTGCCTCTGGTGTGAAATATACAACTATCGCAGCCATATGGCAGGCCACGAAATAATAATAATAATAATAATAATAATAATAATTAATAACTACACCAACCTACAGATTAAAATTTTCCAGAATGTGAGGCCTCCCAGCCACTATTATCCTAGTTAACATCAGGGAGTTGGGGTCTATACCGATAACGTTAATTGTTGGTCCTTTGTATTCAAGGATACACGTCTACTAATACCCGACTAGCTAATTCCTATTGCACACGATTTTTTGGCTTACACTGCAAAACTATAATGAGCAGAACTTAAATACAGTTTAGGGAAGAGAAGAGTGTTATCTAGCGTGATCAACAATCTAAACACTCAAACCCTCGGTTACGAAGACTTGTAACTTCGTGCTAGCACAGCCATCGATGTCTACCCAATTTCACACAAAAGACTTGGGTCAGTCCGTGGTATTGTTTTCAGGCACTTTCCAGAGATGTCGCAGCTGGGATCGCTTCCTCCTCCACACTGTTAATATGAAGAAGTCATCCTTCTGACACGAATGAATATTGCATTAACAATTTTTGAGAATAATGGTGATTTTCCCTAGATACAAGTTCTACTATTTAACCCATAGCTGGTAAGATGAGAAGGATTTTTACTTTTCCTGGGGTTGTTGTACATACAAGCGGGTTAAAGAAAATGCTACTACTACTACTATTAATAATAATAATAATAATAATAATAATAATGGCGTATAACACAAACATATTTAAATATGTAGTTAAAACAAGACAAAAGCGAATAAAATTTAATACGAAAAATCACAAAGATAAAAAAATGCGGGTTTCCAGGTTGTTGCTCACCACTCGTGATCAGTAATAATCTAAACGCCAAATTTTCTACAGGCAGATCACATTTAGTTCGAATTGCTATTCCCTCTATTTATACAGGGAAGGCTGCCAGGACTTAATAACAATTGTCTGCCATCTGCATAAAACGTAGAACCTTTTCTCACGGTACGCCTCGACATACTGACGGTTTCTAATCAGGTTTTCTGCGATTGCAACTTATGCAAATTATTTCCAAGCTGACCTTTTTTAATGAATGCTGTAACATGCTGCGAAATTCTCCCCTCAAGAAACTGACTTTTCTTGCCTACTGAATGAGGGTCGCACTGATATTTTAGAAAATAAATAATGGAACTTGTTTTGAAGATCAACAGATTGTCCTCACGGATGAATTTCAACATCGGCCGCAAAAAGAACATTACTCGTTATTTACCTGCTCTCTCCACAAAGTGGAATGTGGCACAAGGCCGGTTGAACGTGAGTTTTTCCGAGACCGTAAGACCGGTAGACGCGGTAACAACTTAACAACTTAATATAGACCTGGACGAGTCTATTGTTTAGTAGTTCCGGTATCACTTACCCACCTTCCAAGAGTTTCCTTTTTGAAATGGAGAGAAAAAAAAACTGTTAATACTTTTTCCTCTTGGGATTTACGTCGAGCGGTTGAGTAAATTTCCTTTTCCTTCCTGAGCGTCGCACTTCAGGAGAGACTTGGGGCAGGTCGAGATCGAACTAGAGATCTTGATGCGTGAGCCACAGCTTTTCGCGAACCATCTGGCAGTTTATGTAAAATGCAAGCACCTATGCCGTACGAGCTTGCATCACTTGCGACTATGATGTCGAGACTAGGGTCGTAATGGGTGAGGGAGAGGTCTGAAGTAAGAGTTTTCTTGATCTTCTCGAATGCGTCTTGGCATTCTGGGGTCCATGACCATGGTTTGTCCTTTTTTAAAAGTTGGTTGAGAGGCCCTCTCAAATTTTGCATGTTCTTAATGAACCATTGGTAAAAGTTAGCTAGGCCGCGAAAGCTTTGTAACGCTTGAACGTTATCTGGGGCCGGCATATTTCTGATCGCGTTGGCTCGTATTTGATTGGACTTCTTTTTTTACGTAGACCGTAGGTGCTGCCCACTCGGTGAAATCTGTTTTTGACAGACTACCTGCTCGTTCGAGTCTATCTAACTCTTTGTTGATTTGCTCTAGAACAGCGAAAGGGACATTCCGTTTCTTTTTGAATACCGGTTGTGCACCGTCCTTCACCTTGAACTTAGCTTTCATTTTAGTACATTTCCCAAGGCCGCCAGAAAAAACCTGGGGAAATTGTTGTTTGGGTTGCTTTTTTAGATTTACCAAATTGGACGCTGTACTTTGTATCTTGCGACAAAATGTACTCATTGGGCAATCCCAAAGATTGAATGTTTCTATCCAATCAGTTCCAAATAAGTTATCTGAAGTTTTCAATACGTAGGCTTTAAGCTTTTTGGTAACTCCATTTAGAAATGTTAATCTTTTCGCCAGTTACGGATTTTGCTGTTTTATCCGTTTTTAATAAGGTCGGCTTGTTTAATTTTCGCCGAGTATGCCAGTTAATGGTTGAAAGATCGGAACCCGAGTCACTTACACGAAAATACTAAAACATTTTTAATGCTACAATCTGTTCTTTTCAAACCATGACCCTGTTTAGATAGCTATAAAAAAAAAGTGACATAACCAATATAAAAAATAATGAAATGACACGAAACATTATTTTCCCCTCACTACAAACAACTGCCTTTATCTATGACTAGCAGTAGAGACCGGCGTTGCCCGGGGATGTAACAGTAAGAGATAGATCAAGTATCGACCATCATAAAGACTGAAAAATAAAATTGACAAAGATTATTGTTTAAGGTTGACGGACACTCATGTTTTAATTAGTATTTTTTTTTTTTTACGAATTGGTCAAACCCAAACTCAAACAAAAACATTGTTTTCAATCGTTATGAGTCTACCGATTGAATAGAATTTTATTATAAACAATTGTCTTGTAAATGGAATTTTTAAAGCATTCTGAATGTAAAAATAAAGAAAAAAGTGTGCAAGACAATAAGAAACACTACCTGCCAAAAAAAGTGAAGTTTTGTTGAAATAGGTTGAAAAATATAGGAAATCCGATCCCATATATAAACGAACACACACACACACACACACACACACAACCTGGGTTTTATAATAAGTATGATGAACTAATCCTTTAATCCCTCTCCATGTCGTACTATCTTTTTGTCTCTCTATGCTACCTCTCTCTTTCTGTTTTAATTTCTATGTCCCTCTTTCTTTTTGTTGCCCTCTTGGACGCTCAACACAGTTTGGGTTTAATAAGATTAGCGTAGCACAGACCCTACATAGGTCGGTATAAACGTATTAATATATAGATGACTCACCAGAGGAAGATTTGGACGAGTTAGAAATTTGAAGATTTGGGAGTCTGCGAAGATACTGAATAGGGAGAATATTAGACGAAACACGTTGTTATTCATTCTTCTGAGATAATCATCCGGGCATCAGGTATGAACATGCAAATACACGAATAATAATAATAATAATAATGTATCTTTGAAGATCTTCAAAAACTCAAAATACAGTGAGCTTAAAATCGAAATCTCAAAAATGTAGCATATGAGGACAATTGTAGGTGGAGTTCTCGGATTGATTGAAAAAGATTCCAATAGACACAGTGAAGGGATTCCTGGTAGCCCATGCCTTAAAGAAATACAAATAATTGTTCTCACAAATACAGCCTACATCCTACATCTATGTAAAATACGGGTGATTTCCTTTTTAATGATTTTCTTTTTTTTTTTTCTTTTCAGAGTTGGTCAGTGGAAAATGTCATGATGCTATTTCCGACTCTAGGTTGTCCGGTCAGGAGGCGAAAAGAATAAATGAGTACACACCAGAAATCAAAGGAAGTAATAATAATAATAATAATAACAATAATAATAATAATAATAAAATAAAAGAAATCAAGTGAGAATTCGATACAAGATGAGAAACATAAAGGTCTCAACACACAAATATAGGAAGATCAAGTGGAAATGTAAAATTAAATTATTAAATGAAATTCCATCAATCAAGGAAATGCTAAAACAGAAACTGCAGTTAAAAGCGCAAAGAACAAGACTAAAGGAAAAACGTTGTAGGTTCTATCGCCAAAATAAAATATTCCAAACGGACCTTCGGATATTTTACATGGAAATTGGAAAAACAGTTACAGATGTCAAAAAGCCACTATCTATTGAAAAAGTGCAGAAATTTCGGAAGAATATTTGAACCAGACCAAAGGAATATAACTCCAATGCAGAATGGATCCAGCGTGAAGAAGAACGCATGCTGGATAAACCTCTACATGAATGTGAAAATAAACCCAGGAATAATTTTAGAAAAGCTTGAAATCCCCAAAATGAAAATCCCCAGGAAATGACAAGGTTCCCAATTTCTGGTTCTATCATCTGTCATTAATCCATAAAACCCTTGCACAAAATATCTAACGTAATAAACCCTGCCTGTTGCAGCTCTGTCCTGACTCCCCGGTGGTTCTGGCCGAAAAAGGAATACACCCGATCTCCCCCCGGTGAACTGAAGGAACCACCACTATTCGCCACGATGTGAATTCTTAATCCGAACAGCAGTGTATTGGTCTCCCCAGAACGGTCCGGTGTGAAGGGGAGGAAATGGCTGGGTATTACACTGAAAAGAAATCACTATTCATGCAAAAAAAAGTTTCTTGTCGTAGCCGCAAAGATATGAAAAAGAAAAAATAATCAACTCTTTCGGTTCCTGTACAAAGAGCCCTTTTTAGGCCACTGTTTTTATATCACTACCTAAGAATTTACACGAGTACAAAATGTCGTAACGAGGTTCACTCGTTTGGGGTCGGAAGTGACAGAGAGAGAGAGAGAGAGAGAGAGAGAGAGAGAGTAGGAAAATTTCTGCCTAAACAATTTCGGCTGATCTAAGGGAAGTAATTCGGGGATCTTTGTCGGAGCATGTAATTATAGCAGTTTGGTTTCTCAGCTTTGTTGGCAAAATTAACTGGTTTCATACAGGGTTTGTTTCTATTTCTGGGTTCGGATCGACCTCTTGGGCGCGTGACAACCAACCAACCGGACCAGCAAATTCCAACAAGCCGTGTCTTCCGCGTTGCGATCTAACTAACTCAAGCGTGCGGGCAGCTTATATAGAGAGAGGCGGAGCCAAATCATCTTTAGGCACCGTCCCCGAATTTTAACCACCATGCAAGCTTTTCCGGTCCCTGAAACTCAGCGGGAACCCAGTTTTCAAGAGGTACTAAAATCGGATTCGGACCCCCCCCCTCTGGGTCTTCCGCAGACAAAGTATACTTAAGTTTTGCCCAAACCACTTATCCCGTCTTGTTGAATTCCGCCATTCAGACCACCCAAAAGTCTAATTCGCCATTTATCACAAACTTTACATTAACGAATCCATCTCTTAATCACTGTGGAATTATTACATTTAATTAACTAATAATTCAACCCCAGAAACAATTATTAAGAGAGAGAAAAAAAAACAAGAGAAAAAAAACTTATTTCTGGAATTACTCCGGAATCCCTTCTACCCAAGTAATTAGCACCTTCATCCTAATTCTTTAGCACCGTTGATTACTAAATCCACCTCAGGGTGGGGGGTCTCTCTCTATCTATGCCACAAATATCTAGGTTTATTAATAATCTCAATAAAGTCTCAGAATGGATCACTGAAGGTATTTCATATCTCATGCTAAAAACGATCATCCGAAAATTATAATCTGTCTGTCCACCACATTTAACTTGATCATGTCTGTCCTGACGAACCGTACTTACTCTTTTCTCGAAACAAACAAAATTATTTTACTGGAGGAGAAGGAATGCAGGAGAGGTTCATATTGTTGCAAAGATCAACTAGTGATAAACAAAATGATCCTGAAAAATTGCAGGAAAAGATGTAGAAATCTTTGCAGAGTATGGATAGGCTACAGCAAAGCCTTCGATTCTAACCAAATCCTAATCCTAATAAACAATAATAACTATGGATACAAAGTAAGCAAGAAAATATTTAATTACCTCTTCTACATGTTTGATCTCAGTCTCTTTGCTAAAGACAATAAGTTGAAGGGTCTCTTGAATACTGTAAAATGTTTCAGTGACGACATAGGTATAGATTTCGGATAAGATAACTATGCAAAAGTAACATTCAAGAAAGTGAGAATTACAAAAACACATTCAATAGATCTAGATTTTGTCACAAAGATTAAGGAACTGGAACAAGGAGCCTTTAAGTATTTGGAATTAGCGGAGATGGAATACAGCATACCCAAATGAAGGGGAAGGTATTGAAGGAGTACTACAGCAATGTGAGCCTGGTACTGAATGCCGAGCTGTATTCAAAACCAGAATATCAAACATAAACACCTGTGGGTGTCCCTGTAGTTCAATACAGTTTCAACATCCCTAACTGGACCATAGCTGACATTAAGCGAATGGACGCCAAAATGCGAAAGCTTCTCACCTGCCACCTCATGCAACATCTCAAGGATGATTTTGATTGCGTGTACGTGCCCAGATCCAAAGGAGACAGAAGATTAGTTCAACTAGAATTGTTTTACAAAACTGCAAGGATAGACTTCAGAGATATCTGGAAACTATGTAAGACTGGATGATGATCTGTGTCAAATAACATGAAAGAAATAACAAACTTTATTCAGTAGTAAAAGAAGTCAAAATGGGGCTTTAAATGGGTGAAAAAATGCAAGTAAAGAATTATACACGGAATGCAACTTCAAAATACATAAAAAAGGAAAGCAAAGGTAAATGTAACCGACCAGATACAGAAACGATGGCAAGATAAGTTTTATAATGGTCAATACTCTGCCCGTACCAAACAAGCAGATGTAGACAAACCCCGTACCTATCAGTGGCTACGTAGTACAGGGTTAAAAGCTGAAACCGTAAGTTTTATTCTTGCTGCACATGACCAGTGCTTGCTAACTAGAAATTACCAAGCACACATACATAAAAATTGTGTTAACCCAAAATGCAGATTCTGTGATAAATATCCAGGAACAACTGACCATCTTGTATCAGGTTGCGCGGTATTGGCACCAACTGAATATGAAACTCGGCATTATAGAGTGAGCCAATATCTGCACTGGAAAATCTGCAGCTTTTACGGAAACTGCAAGAAATTGGTATGGACACTACCTAGACCCAGTTACGGAGATAGGACCTGTAACAATTTTATATTACTTTACAATACACACAAACAGAACAATCAAAGCTATTCGCACTGACATCGTGATTAGAGACTAAAGAGAAAATGTGCCTTCTTATTGACATGGCAATCTCTGAAGACTGCAATGTATCTTTGAAGACCTTCAAAAAACTATCAAAATAAATCTCAAAATTGTGGCACATGAGAGCATCAACAATTCCAGTTGTAGTTGGAGCCCTCGGATTGATTGGAAAAGATTCCAATAGACGAATTGAAGGGATTCCTGGTAAACCCTGCTTTAAAGAAACAAAAAAAAATGTTCTCACAAGTACAGCCTTTATCTTACGAAGGGTTTAAACTATGTAACAGGTGTGATTTAAAAAACAAAAAAATATCATGATGCCATTTCTGACGTTAGGTGTCTGATGGGGACCTGGAAAGGAAATGAGTATACATAATAAATCAAAGGAAATAAAAATAATGATAATAATAAAAGAATTCTGATATATACATTAAGAAAATCATAGAAAAAACATTTCACAAAGAAACAAAAGATCGTGATCACGAGTACTGAACATGTCAAAAAATTTGTTAAAACATTGTGTCAAGCAGCAAATCAGGAAATTTGAAACTACTACTACTACTACTAATAATAATAATAATAATAATGTTCCCTTTCTCCGCCTCTGATGGTAGTGACAGAGATTACTCTGAAGACACAGCCTACTCCTGAAGAGACGTGAGCAGGAGTCACAGGAGTGTAGGTGGTGGACGCGGCTAGGGGCGTCGGGTCCTCTTCACAGCACGTCGCATATCCTCTTCATGTTAACGGTTGGACTCGAAAGTCTCGGTCTCCCTCCCCCTGGGTGGTTTTACGCCAGAAACCAGCAGTTTCCCAGGTCACAGCGTCGATGAATTCCTGTGTCAGGGATGTCTTCAACTGATCCTTGAAGCGTCATTTTGGACCTCCGCGTAGCCTCTTGCCGCTGGCGAGTTTTCCAAACAGGATGATACGTGGGAATCGAGTGGTATGAATTCTGGTCACGTGACCCGCCCAGTAGAGACGATGTTGAAGGATGGTAACCTCGATGCTGGGGAGAGATGTCCGAGAAATGACCTCGTTGTTCGTGATGCAGTCTACTGAAGTGATGTCATGGATTCTTCTGTGCTTCGTTTGCTGGAACCGTTTTAGACGTTTGTTGACCCGACGATACAAATTCCAGGCTTAGCAAGCGTGGAGCAGGGTGGAGAGGGTCACGGCCCGGAAGACCATGATTTTGGTTTTTATGATGAGACCGTGATTACTGAAGCTCTGATGTGAGAGCCGTCCGTACGCAGTATGCGAAGCTTTGATCCTGTTGTCAAGCTCTCTCTCTCTCTCTCTCTCTCTCTCTCTCTCTCTCTCACACAGGTGGCATTATCCAAAATAATAATAATAACAACAACAACAATAATAATAATAAGAATAATAATAATAAGAAGAAGAAGAAGAAGAAGAAGAAGGAGAATTTCCTATTTGTTTCCTTTTTACTTTTTTTTTTATATAAATGATGTTTTCAATTTTTCTCAGGCTGACATATTGAAAGCGGTTCGTTTTGTTTCCGCAGTTTGTCTCAGACTAAAACAAAATATGAATGTAAAATCACGTTTGACGTAAAAAAAAAGAAAAAAAAAACAGAAAAGACAAAAACGAGGCAGTCGACGGATTCGAACCTTTATTAATCTCCACAGTTTCCCACTTTATACACGAACGAAACTTCGAAAAGAACTCATAAAAAATGTCTTTAAAAACGTGTTCAAAATAACAATCTTCAGATTATACCTCCCTGTTCACACGGTTGGACCGTATAAAACTCGTCTATCCGTCGAATTAAGACATATATATATATATATATATATATATATATATATATATATATGTGTGTGTGTGTGTGTGTGTGTGTGTGTGTGTGTGCGTGTGTGTGTGTATGTATGTATATATGTGTGTGGCGTATCGATGCGGCAAGAATTCATACAATCAAGTTTGACTAAATTCAACCGACAATACTTTTTAATTATTCTACTGCAATTTTCCAACTTTTGAATGAGACTTTCTACATCAGGATCAAAACTGGGGATAAACTGTCCAAAATTCAGGATTGGACAAAACAGAACAAAATATGAACTTCAGAGAGTTTAGCCACAATATTGATCCCGATCTACAACATCTTATTCTAAAATTAGGAAAATGCATGGTAAATTATATAGACAGGCCTTGTCGGTTGAATTTAACAAAATGTTTGGACACACATACACACACACACACACACACACACACACACACACACATATATATATATATATATATATATATATATATATATATATATATATATATATATATATATAATTGATGGATTTATATTAATCCGAAATTTTTATTACTTTAAATGTTATTATAGTGAACACTTCATACACGAAATAAACGCCCAATTTTTTTTTATTAAACCGTGTGTATTACGTTTATCGGTCAACGTACTGGTGAAATCTTAATAAAGAAGGTTCGATCCCTGCCTGAGAACACATTTTCTTTACTAAGATTTCTCGAGGGCCGGTAGATATATAATAACACTGTTTAATAAATAAAATTGATTGTCTATTTCAAATACGAAGTGTCCATTATAATAACGTTCGAATATATATATATATATATATATATATATATATATATATATATATATATATGTGTGTGTGTGTGTGTGTGTG